TGTGTCTGTATTGTTACAGACATACTTGTTGACAAGTATTTTGAAATAAATTACCAAAATAATTGAAACTGGCATGTTTATATTGTGTTAGTTTGACAAATAAAATATACACAATTTTGCAGAATTTTAAAATGTGTGCAGAATTTTTAATTTTTTGGTGCAGAATTCCCCCAGGAGTACTTACTCTATCAGATTCCCATTAAAGTCAATGACTGAACTGAAGTCAATGAGAATTTTGTTTGATTAATGAGCACAGATCCCTGCATAGCTGATCCCTTCAAGCTGAAGGCTTGACGCTCATGCTGATACTGCTTTATAATAGAATATATATTCCAGGCATTGAACAAATACATACCAGATTATTTTAAACTTTGCTTAAATATTCCATAAAAGAAACTGCCCCTATCTTAGACAGAGAATATAATATTGATGTTAGTCCAATATGTTTATAAAACTAACATGACTGGAGAATCAGGATCTCTGTGCACATACCTGTTTTACAAGCTTGGTAACTCGAAGTTGCTACATGCTATTTAAAATGAATATGAAAAAGTAGTTGACATTAGTTCCCAAGCCACGTCTTCTCAATAGAAAAATAAGTTATTGTCAACAAAAGGCTTCAACTTATGTAAAGCCAAGATCTGTGAAGACAAATAATATATCTAAAATCAAGAACAGAAGCATTGTCAAATTCTCTAAACTAGAGTATTAAGTTATTGTAGTTGTAGTTGAATAACTTGTAGTTATTCATAGGGAAATCTAGCTTTCATGTTCAGACATCTATTAGATAAAATATATTACTTTTCATGAAAAATAGTCTTTGCAATAAGAGATCTTTTCTGCCTTAATAATTCAAAATATATTATGTAATCTTTCCTACATTCTGCAGATTGCAGCTATGGTATTAGGGAAAAAATCTCATTACACAATAGGAATTGGTTATTTAAAATAAAATATGAAAACTTGTCAAGATATGGTGCCATGTTTCTTTGCAGTGATTTTAATATTTCTTAAAGTTGATGAAGGCAAATCACTGACAGATATTGCCCTTTTTTCTATTTTGTAATTTTTGTTAGACCTGATATGTTGTCAGCTACATCAAAACATTGTGGGCCTCATCAATCCTTACTCACATAAGTCGTCCTATTGGAGAAAATAACAACAATGAAATACTTGCATGATTGGGCCATAAATGAGATTGTTAGGAATAATTTTGCTATAGTGTACTGTGAAATGTTGAACACCTCCGATGACAGGTTGCGTATACGCCACTTCTATAAGCTCTATGGGAGTAGAAGGTGCTTAGGCATCACCTCATTGAATCAAACATCTATTTTCTAAAGGAAACCTTCTTTCAAACACTATTTCCACCCGTATTTGAGGCTTCATCTTGACACTTCATATGCCTATATCTTCTAAAGATGTTTGCATCCATTTTTAATGGACAGGCAAGGTACACATCAGTGACAAATGTCTGGGGTGCAAAATAAGTGTCACTTTGCTTGACAAACATTTTATTTTTAAGGCAGTTAGGAAGGATTCAGCCTGGTTAGACCATTGTTCCCATTGATCACTTTATAATCGCAGATTATCTCACTTGAAAACAACATTTGGTAGCAGAGAGGGGGACATATCTAATTCCAAAACAGAGTGTGACAAAGTAATGAAAAAAACTTGTTCCTAATATTAGGGCTCATTGAAAAACAGGATAACTATCCCGTTTAGACTGCTTGTTAAGGATTCTGGGTAGTGCTGATTGCTGTCTTTTTAAAGTCAAATTTTGGTTTGTTAAAGATTATTGAATTTCATTCTTCAAGCCACGTCCCTTGGCTTTCCCAACACTTACTTCTGATTTGTTATATAGTGTGATATTTTAGCAAGTTTTAGCAGGAAACTGAGGCTAAGGTTCTGTCTACATTACAAGAACTACAAATGCAGAGCTATAGCTTGGCAGGCCATTCATCTGGTATTAAACCAGACAGTCCTGCTTTTCTAGGGTTTGTCCTCTATCTGATACTCAGACAAAAACACATGTGGTCCAGTATCGGCTGGGGGACATTCTTTTGAAGAGCGTGCTGCTCCCCACCCTGCTGGTGTGACCTTGCATGCAAAGTTATGCGGGGGTAGGGGAGGGGGGTAAAGTGGCATGCTTTTAAAAATGATGTCCCCTGTACAGCATGATTGCAGGTGTATCAAGTGGAGGGTTACCATACGTATGGATTTTCCCATCTATGGCCTCCTTTTTGGTCCTCTGATCTCCGTCTGGGTGGATTTTTGAAATATGAAGAAAGGTCCATGATTTTTCCTTGCTCGTCCTTTTCCAACATTGCTTCTGGTAGAATTACAATTCCTGGCATGTCTTAATAGCGGTGTGTATGTTTACTGGTTTGCCACCCTTACTTCAGCGGTGCAGCTGCTAGTGGCGTTGCCTTCAGAGCTGGGCGGCCAGAGAGCGGCGGCTGCTGACCAACCGCCCAGCTCTGAAAGCAGCACCACTTCCAGCAGCAGCGCAGAAGTAAGGGTGGCATGGTATGATAGTGTCATAAAAATTGAACCCTGCCTCCCCCTCCAACGCTCCCTGGCAATGTCATCTATTTGAGAACTTGAAATATGGTAACCCTAACCGAGTGTCCAAGGTCATGCCAGCGGGGGCTGTTCCCAGAAGTACTGGAGTGTCCCTGTGACAGGTTAGAATCACAGAAACCCCCTTGGGAGCTGCCACCTGATGTGCCAAGACTACTTCTGCCTCTGCTTTCCCTGCCAGCTCGGGACCCCAGCACCCTGTCTTGCTGAGCCAGACACTCCCGTCTGCTCCAACACAGACCCAGGGTCTGAATTACTTGCCCCACAGCTGCAGACTTACAGAAGCAGCTTACAGAAGTGTTCTTGTCTTTAACACTCAGATGCCCAACTCCCAATAGGGTCTAAAACCCAAATAAATCCATTTTACCCTGTATAAAGCTTATACAAGGTAAACTCATAAATTGTTCATCCTCTATAACACTGATAGAGAGATATGCACAGCTGTTTGCCCACCCCCGCAGGTATTAATAAATACTCTGGGTTAATTAATAAATAAAAAGTGATTTTATTAAATACAGAAAGTAGGATTTAAGTTGTTCCAAGTAGTAACAGACAGAACAAAGTGAATTCCCAAGCAAAATAAAATAAAACATGCAAATCTAAGCCTAATACAGTAATACAATTGAGTACAGATAAAATCTCACCCTGAAAGATGTTTCAATAAGTCACAGACTGAACACCTTCCTAGTCTGGGCACAATCCTTTCCCCTGGTACAGCCCTTGTTCTAGTTCAGGTGGTAGCTAGGGGATTTCTCGTGATGGCTCCTCTTTGTTCTGTTCCACCCATTTATATATCTTTTGCATAAGGCGGGAATCCTTTGTCCCTCTGGGTTCCCACCCCCACCTTTTCAATGGAAAAGCACCAGGTTAAAGATTCCAGTTCAGGTGACATGATCACATGTCACTGTAAGTCTTCATTACCCACTTGCCAGCACACACATATACAGGGAGACTTACAAGTAAAACAGAGCCATCTGCAGACAGTTGTCCTGGTTAATGGGAGTCATCAAGATTCCAAACCACCATTAATGGCCCACACTTTGCATAATTACAATAGGCCCTCAGAGTTATATTTAATATTTCTAGTTCCAGATACAAGAGTGATACCTTTATACAAATAGGATGACCACACTCAGTAGATTATAAGCTTTGTAATGATACCTTACAAAAGACCTTTTGCATGAAGCATATTCCAGTTACATTAGCATATTTTCATAAAATCATATAGAGTGCAACGTCACAGTCCCGTATTCCAGGAATATGTGAGAGATCACCATAGCTGCAGCTATGCTGCTGTAGTATAGACACTTCCTATATCAACGGTGGAGGTTTTCCAGAAATAGGCTGTAGCTACAGTGATAGAATAATTCTTCCTAGGCCTGGCACTCAGGGCAGAAATATTTTCACTGCTCTGCGTGCCATAGCGAGGTCAATCTCATTTTTTATGCCAGGCCTAAATGTCTTGCCAAAAGACTCAGAGAAAGTCAGTGCAGAGCTAAGCGTACAGCCTATGCCTCCCAATTCTAACCACCCCAATGCTTTAATTATGGTGTGGTCCCAGCCCAGGATGGCATGTAAAGCCCTGGGATGGCATGGCATGGCTTTGCCATGGGGTGCTATGGTGAGGCAGTAGGCTCGTAGGGGTCAGCCCCAGAAAAGTGTAACAGGAGGCATAGGAACAGTGTATGAGGCAGCAGGGCAGTGCTGGTGGGGTGGAGATTGCCCTGTCATGGTGACTGGCTCCGTAGGTGTAGGGTTACCATATTTTGAGTGTCCAAAAGGAGGACACTCCATGGGGCCCCGCCCCAACTCCACCCCTTCCCCAAAGTCCCCGCCCCCTCCCCTGCTTCCCGTGAACATTTGATTCGCGGAAAGCCTGAAGCAGGTAAGGCGGGGGTG